GTTATCTCTGGACTATAGAAGCTAAGGGCCTGTGACAATCTTTTTCTCCCAGAAAGTTTGCAGATTTTTAATGATCTATTGTTAACCTTCTTATGAACTAATGTTGAGTGCTTCCTGGGTTTCAGTACTGAGCAAAATGATTTACATATCATTTCAATTAATCCTCACAGTAACTTTTTCACTAAACAATATGCTCATAACCACTAAGGTGTTTAGAACAGAGAGAGGATTGCACCCCAGGGAGTCTGATTATTTTTTGTCTTAGCCTCAGATGTGGAGAGTTGGGGTGTTCATACTCCTCAGTCCATTTTATGGTTTCAAGGTTGTTGTTTAGTTCCATCAACCACTTTTATTCCCTTGCCATCTTTTAAGTAAGAAGCTGGAACTGACTTTTCTTATGGTTAAAATGGGATTCTACATAATAACACACTGATGTCTTAGTAACAGAAGATTGAAAACTCACATTTTACAAATATCTTTATAAGATCTTGAGTTTTACATGTTTTAAATTAGACAGTTCTTGGAAATAGGTAAGATATTTGAATTACTTATTACATGTGTTGATATAAATTAAGTCCTTCATATACAACAAATACAAATAGAAATAAATACTAATTATTCCACTATGAGGTAGGTTAGTTAGGTGGGTAGAGGGGAAGGACAATGAAGGACTGACATTAGGCCTATGCACCAAGAAGAATCTAGGAGTCATAAAAGTGAAACAGTGGAGAACCTTATCTAAACAGGCAGGCACTGGGAAATGAGGTCTAGAATGCCTAACCTTCCCCAGGCTGCACAGAACTATAACCCCTTGAGGAATTATTACCTAAAATCCTGGGGAAATGTGGGGTGTGGTACACCAAGACCTCCTGCTTCAGCTAATTATAACCATTCAAGGGGAATTATGGTTTTCAGATAGGTGCCATCATTATCTCTTGCAAACAACACTGTCACAACTACCCTGTCAACCAGAATATTCAGGCTCTCACCAAGGAAGTTGCTGGGTGCTATTCAAGGAGTAATAAACCAATTTAGGGGAGACAGGGAAATCAAGGCAAAAACAAAATACATAGTTTCCTTAAAAATTCCAGCCATTGGGCTGGGGCTGTAGCTCAGAGCCCAGCATGTGTGAGGCCCTGGGTTCGATCCTCAGCACCACATAAAAATAAAATAAAGGTATTCTGTCCATCTACAACTACAAAAAAAAAAAAAAAAAAAAAAAAAAAAAACTCCAGCCATGTGAGTACCTCACAATCCTCTCTTTGAGGGGGTCTATGCAGTCCATCTGCTGTAAATAACCTTCTGGTTTCGTTCTCTATTAAACTTTTGCTATGTTTCACTCGAATTCTTTCTGAAAAGTTACAAGGACCAGAACCCAAGGATTTGCAGTGGTTGCCCTAGTTCAACCCGGCAGGACCCCAGCTCTGTAAAACCACAGCAACTGTCTTTCAATCAGATTAGAATATTTATTTTCATAGAAAAACACTGAACAAGCATGAAACAAATAGTCTGGAAGAAATTTAGTGCAGATAAATATAAAAACATGGGATTCCCCTTTAAACATATGATGTATCCAGCCCAGGTTAACTCTCTGAAAGGGAGAACAAAAGATGTTGAGAAAGGTCATGATTTTGAAGTTTAGAAATGTATTACTAATTTATTTCCTATAACAAAGTATTATTTGTCATCTTTCTCATTAAGTTATTTATTTATGATTAGTTTTTTGGTAGAAAGGGTTTTAGGTGGTGAAAGTATTTGCATTTTCATCTTTGTCTGGTTCTTAGGAATTAACAGGTTGCATTAGATTACTACCTCCTGTATCATGTTTCCCTAGATCTGTTTCCTTCATGTAAAAGTTATCCTCCAGTTTTAGAATAACAGAATTTGGTCTGTTTCTTCATATCCACATCTTTATGTTCTGTGATTATAACCTTCTCTAAGTCCATGAATTTCTAGATAGAAAAGTTCAATTTTTTAGAATAGAAATTTTTCCAATACACTTTGAAAATTCATAAAAATAAAATATATAATATATATGTATATACATATGTACACATATAAACTTTAAAATAAATAATATTTTAAAACTCTATGTTTTGAAATAATTTTTCAGAGCATCAAGAATATCACTTAATTTTTTAATATAAAATATATTAGATCAGAATGGTGACAGTAGGACCATCTCTTAAAAAATAAAATATAAAACATAACTATTAGTAACAGAGGAATTTCACATTTTTCCCTGTATGTCACTGCCAGTTCTTAAAACAATAATACTGTTTCTTTTCTTATTGATATAAGAACTAAGATGTATTTTGGCAAAGCACATCTCTGCCTCCTTTGTAAAAGCAGTTTTGGTAAACATACATTTACTGTGATGTTTGATCAGTATTTTGTGAGGCATTTTTTATGTCCCATAGGGCTATGCTCTTGAGGGAAACTAATGCACAAAGTGTGAACTTTCTCTTTTCATTTGAGACTGGGTCTGTAGGAAGATGTAAAACATGTTCCTTACTTGGGTTAAATTACAAAGCTAAGAAACCATTAGATCTACAGTTTCTTGCACCTGCAAAAGTGAACATTGTGTGAACAAGCTGAAAACCATATATATTAACTCCAGAAAATGTGAACAAAGCAAAAGGTATAATTTGAAAGTCACTGTTAATGAGATACATTGCTATAATTCACTTAATATGAATAGAACATTTAAGAAATACAAAAAATTAAGGTGGTGAATATTTTAAAACACTTCATAGATATACCAGCAACAATAAGGGTACATACATGGTTTTATATTTGGAAAGCGATTTTTTGCTCTATTCCAAGGGAGATCTGCATCAGTTGAAGACAGATCCTGAAGAAATTTTGGTAATTCCTGTGAAATAAAGTCATTGCAAAAATTACATTTCTCAGAAGTG